GAAACCTGTACAATAATAAAAATAAAACTAATTGCCAGTTAAAATAATCAAAACCCGATTCCAAATACTAGAGTAGGGACTTTAGGTGTGCAATGGGTTATTTGATTCACCCTGTTCCCGAAGAGTTTGCTTGATCCGATATACCCAAATGAGATGATTTTTTTTACAAATAATTATGAATTTGTAGATAGAGCAAGTAAGGTCGTATCCTCAAGGACTGGAAGTATTTGTCTCTTTAGAAATCCAAAATAACACATGGGTGTTTTTGTATAAATGATGACAATCAAAGAAATTTAAATAAAAATAAAAATAAATAGCTAACTAGAAATTAAATGACAATTCACTAAAATTAGAGTAACAATAATTAAAGGTCTAGCCAAGAAATAATTTCAGCAATGATTCATCTAATTGATTCTCGATGCACAAGCAATTCTAATTATTTATTAATAAATAAGTTATAACTGCCAAACAAGCGATGACAGTCAACTCCTCCTTATTATGTCGATGATTAAGATACGCTCGTTAATCACTGCTCTAATTGGGAAATAATCTTAGGTACGCCCATAAGATTTAATTCCCCAATTGCCTTACGTATTAGAGGAGCTCTATTTTAACCAAATAACGCACTACCAGGGTTATTTCATATTAGTCCGCGTACCCCCTGATACAAAGCCAATCATGCCAGTTGTCACTAATTCAAGGCAATAAAACAATTACGGATTTAATGCCCTAATTGACAATAGATTATCAAGTTAACTAATTATCCAGATCCAAGACAATCAATTAATTAATTAATCATAAGTACTACAATCAAGGAATGTGCGAATACCAATAAATAAATAAAAAGATAAAATTAAATTGATTTCACAATTTTTAAACGAACCAGAGCCTCCATTGTCCCTTGACTAGAATGGAAAAATTAGTTCATATTTGATGAACAAAGCCCACAAGAAATTGAAGTAACAGTAGCGGCCATTAGCCTTATTCGTGAGAATTCAATTTGATTGATTGAATAAGGAAAAACTGGCAATTACGGAGAATGATTCAATTCTTCATAAGGTTTCTAACATGCGTAGGAGAACTCCACTACCAAAAGCTAAAAAGGAAAAATTAAAGGCTAAACCTCCCAAGTAGTGCCCGTCCTCTGCGTTTTATTCTAATTCCTATCTAATGCCTCCAAATGTGCGGCGGCTCCCAAGAAAAGAAAACTCTCTACGTTTCATTCTCTCCAGCAATTACCAAAATGGGCCAAAATTTTCCTTTGCCAACGATGCCCCTAGAATAAGCTCTGTGATTTGGACTCCTTTCCTATCAAATTGGCACTTGTTATCATATTTTCATTCTACTCCCTGAAATAAATATAAAATACTAAAAGTGAATAGAATCTAACAATTAATCCACATCGGGTCAGGTAATAGAAGAAATTAATAATAAAATAAATGATAAAATTGCGCGCTATCAATTCCCCCATACCTAAACCATTCTTGTTCTCAAGTATGAGAACAGCAAACAAACACCAATTTTTTACAATGGCTATTGCTCTATCTACCATATTGCCAAGATATCAAGGGAAAATCATATATCAAGTATCAGTGATCAAAATCCGAGAACATCACCCTAGTTAGCGTCTAAACCACAAACTCCTTCAATTCCAAATTAATTAATTTAAGAAAAAGGAATGGCGCATAACATTTATCAGCAAATGGTCCAAATATTAACCAAAATCTCAACATTAAATCCATAAATCGGCAAGCTAACTTTTATTACACATTAACACAACCTTCACTTTTTTTCACGTTTTTTTATTTTCCTCTTAATTTTTTTTCTTTTTTTTTTTCAATAATAACACATGACTTAGTCTCTAGCTATTGAAACCTTTTGACGCGAACTCTAACATTTGTCAGATGAAAGAGCTTGATTACTCAACTCCTATCGCTATACAACCACGTATTCATAAAAATTACTATTTTTTGATGCGAGAATCGATACTTTAGGTGATGATCTCTGGTTACTCAGTAGTAACAAATAGCGGAGTACAGTCAACCTATTTCACAGCCAAATAATACAATAACACAAAATAACACTTTTAAAAACAAAAATAGGAGCAGCTAGCCTCATTATTGCCAAACATGGAGAACTAGAGTCAATATTGAATCAATTTACATTAAAATGCCAAGAGTCATTCCCTATGCTTGAAAAAATTAACAAAGAAATCAAAAGAGTCAAGCAGTCACCGATATTCACCAAAGAGATGTTTTGGATTCAACTACATTAATTCGATACACTTTTATTATTAAAACTTGGCAAGAGTAGATTTAAAATCAACAATTGACAGGTGCCGAACCTGTGCAATAATAATTACTAAAAAGTCCTAATTACCACCTCAATTAAATAATTATAAAACGAATCCAAGTACTGGAGCAGGAACCCTAGGTGTGCAATGAGTTACTTGATTCACCCTATTCCCGAAGAGTTTGCTTGATCCGATATACCGGATTTGTCTATAAAAATATTAATTTTGCATACAATGGCAAGTAGGGTCGATTCCACAGGGAGCAGGTAGGAAATTATTTCTTTCCAAATCAGTAGAACGAAATTTGGGGGATTTTCAATGGGAGAGAAATAAATAAAATAAAAGTAAAATAAAAATAAAGCGAACTCAATTCAAAACTAACTCACAAGGCACAATTCACTAAAAATAGCAATTAACAAAAGTTCTACCCAAAGGATCAACTGCTCAGGCACGATCCAATTAAATGCTCATCGATGCAAAGATACTTCACCCATTTATCACTAGGTTGGTTATAGCCATCAATAAGCTCTGACAACCAGTTCTTCCTTACTTCTTCGACAGTCAAGGTACGACCATTGACTGCTTCTCTAACCAGATAACAACCCTAGGTACGACCATAGGAATTTAATTATCCAATTGCATTAAAGCTAGAAGAACCCAACCCTAACCAATAAACACGCTAAGAGGGTTTATTTAAATTAGATCTTGCGTTTCCCCATCATAAAGCCAATTATGGTGGTCGCCACGGGGTGTCAATTAAATGAACAATTACGGATTCTATTTAATTAACGTGGCAGTAGGATATTAAATTAAATCAAATACCCGGCCGCTGATATTCAATTAATCAAATACCCATGAACAATTAATTCAGGAAACACACGAATAGCAATAAATTGGGAGAAATAATGAAGATTCGATTAGATCTCACAGATATTATGGACCGCGCCCTTGCGTCACCCTTTGAGTAGAGGAGGAAATTAGCCGCTCCTCATCGTGTCAATCCCGTGTAATTTAGTTGAATACATTCAATTGATTTCGGAAGAATTGGAGAAACACAAGGGGAATCTCACGGAATTTGGGAAAGTCAAAAGCAAAAAGTGAAGAAAGGTCTCCGTTGTACAGAGCCCAGATGCAATCCGCAGAAATTTTTAATGTCTGGCCGCTAGCCGCTAGCCGCAGGCGAAACCACAGTAAAGAAAAAGAGAACAGGAGAAAAGTGTCTGACAAGGAGTAGAAAAAAAAACAAATAAAAGCTAAGCCTAAAAGTTTTTTTGAATCTCGCTTCTTCTTTTCCTCTTGTAGCCGCCGCAATTTCCAAGTCCAAGCCCACACGTCTGGTACAATTCAATCTGCAAAAGCCATTTCCCCCTTTGAGTTTTGATCCCATGCGCCTGGTCCACATGGACCACGGTCCGGCTTTCGGTTTCGTCCTCCTTCTAAGGCGTGGCCACGCTCTGAAATGGAAGATCTTCTGGAAATTGCCTCGCGAGTTCATTTTTTATGCCGATCACCTACAATGCACGCAAATACCTAATATGAGTGAAATTCTAATTTTTAGCACCGTGAATAGCCCGAATCAGGACAAAATAACAGCGCAAAACACGTCAAATAACAGCTCTATCAAATCCCCCCACACCTAGACAATGCTTGTCCTCAAGCATCTTGGAGCTCAGAGGTACAACCCAGAGAGCAGAGGTTATGCAGTAGTCTATACTAACTCAAACATCTAGTGTCCCTGACAATATCGCCAAAATTAGAACACACCGGACATGCTGTAATTCAAAGAAAATATATGAATACTAGGAACGCTCAAATCAACATCACGAAATGTCATTACCATAGGCTTGCACATTCATCACATCTCCACCACTTAAAAGTGAATCGAACACATAAATCAAAGGGACTTTAATAGGGTTGTAATGGGGCTCAGGTGAAAAGCGGGTTAAGAAGGTATAGATAGGGGGTAAAGTGTCAAGAGAGTGTTCGAAACCCACCAATAACCACAGTGCTTTACCGGGGGAGTTTAACTAATAAGGCAGTTTTCATTTGCTGTACCCTTTGTACAAGTGTCCCCAATTTTTTTCTATATCTCTCTCTTTTTTTTTTTTTTTTTTTTGGATTGAATACTGCTCGCAAGGCGTGGGCACGCCTTGTACCCCATAGTCCTCTGGTCACGAGGTCTCTTCAGAATTTTTTTTTTTTTAAGGAGAAAGTCCTGTAAGGTGTGGGCACGCCCTGTAAGCCAAAGTCCTCTGGTCAGTGGCCTTTTTCCAATTTTCCCTTTTTTATACAAGGATAGCATCATATAGCTCCTAATCTAACAGCACTTGCAACTCCAATTTTGTTTGCTTTGCACAAATGATGGAATTCAGGCATCCCTTGACAACACAGGGGTAAACAAGAAAGTTTAAAGAGGGCTTGGGTTAACAAACACGGATAACAATCAGAAACGAAGGACAAAAGCTCAAATTGGTTCACTATTGGGAGATAAGATGAGGGCTTGATTTTTTTAGATAGCTAAAGAGGGTTAAATCCTAAATGCCCTTATCATTTCAAATGCATCCAATTCAACAAAAATGTGGCCTTGACATGTGTAAACTAGCAAGTTCTAGAATGCCAATACCATGTGTGATACCCACTCAATCAAACAAAAATAGAGCAAACAAGAATAATGTACTCATATAAGGCTCAAAAGCTCCCCCAAAAGTTACAAGAATGGGTCAATTCCAGCATATTCAACATTCAACGACACTGCCAAGGGAAACAAAATGCACAGCTAGTATATTCGACCACATACCCACTCACTTTGATTGTGTCATTCATCACAGCAACATGCCCTAATACTAACAAGCATAGAAATAGCCAAAAAGCTGCCTAACTACAATGTTTTATTTTTTTTTTTGTTTTTTTTTTGTTTTTGTTAGTACCAAAGAAAATAATAATAATAATAATAATAATGGAAGCCATTAATCCCCCTCCCACACCTAAAACCTACATTGTCCTCAATGTAGAAAAGACAAATGAAGTATTAGGGGAAAAGAAAAGAAACTTCCCTGACCACCGGGGAGAGAAAGTGAGACACTAAGGCGGAGGAGGTGAGACGGCTGCGTGCACAAGGTGGTGTGGTGGCGGCGGACGCAACACCAACAGGAAGGAGAAGACTGAAGTATCTTTTTCGGAAGGGTTGGAAGGCGTGGGCACGCCTTAGAAGTTATAGTCGTCTGACCGTCAATTCCAAAACTCCATTCCTTAGGTGTGATGACCTAGCGTGGGCATGCCTAGCTGCCAACTTCCTGTCACAAAATAACAATCCACTAAATGACACTAACACTTAACAAAAACTTCAAAAATATAAGAAAACTAAAACAAAAGAAGCCTTGGGTTGCCTCCCAAGCAGCGCCTTTCTTTAATGTCTTTGGCTAGACATAGCACCACTCTTTAGTCTGGATGTAATTGAATTTTCCTTGTAATTGGTGGTCCTCCTCCAGGATCCACATGGCCATTGAGTGCAACTTTTTTCCTAAATTTTCTCTCCATTTTTACCTCATGAATTGCTTTCATCCTATAGGACTTGTTCGCAGCAACCTTGGATTTACCCCTAAAAGCAAACTTAGAAAATTCTTGCACAGAGGGATTAGTGGTATACATAGCAAACACAGAATGAGAGTTAACAGGATGTTTCATTGTATCAAAAATATTAAAGTGGACTATTTCTCCATCAAATTCCATCGTGAGAGTACCCTTACTAACATCAATTTTAGTTTGGGCAGTACTCAAAAATGGTTTTCCTAATATAATGGGTGATGGATTTGGGGCACTTCTATCATCCATGTAAAGCACATAAAAATCAGCAGGAAAAATTAATCCATTTACTTGCACTAAAACATCCTCAACTATCCCATCCGGATAAGCACATGTACGATCAGCCAATTGAATTATTATCCCCGTTTCTTTTAAAGGTCCTAAATTTAGGGAATCATAGATTGATTTAGGCATCACATTAATAGAAACTCCTAAATCTATCATGGCATTTTTGATACTAGAATGATCAATCTTACAGGGGATAGCAAACATACCTTGATCTCCGCATTTGGGTGGGAGTTTCCTTTGAAGTACAGCTGATACATTCTCTCCTACCATCACTCTTTCATCACCCCTTAGCTTTCTTTTGTTAACGCACAAGTCTTTCAAGAACTTTGCGTACTTGGGTACCTGCTTGATCGCGTCCAATAGGGGGATGTTTACTTGAATTTTGCGGAACACATCCAGGATTTCTTTTTCCTTTTCTGCCCTCTTTGTTTTTTCCAACCTGCAAGGAAAAGGAGGTAAGTTAGATTTAATAGTGGGCGGAGAAGTGAAGGTTACCTCAGGATCCTTGCGAATACGCCCTTCCTCTTCAATTTCCTTCTCTATCTCCTCCTCACTCTTACTTTTTGAATTTCCCTCTTTCGGCCCTTCCAGTGTCTTGCCACTCCTCAAGGTCATGGCACTTACATTCCTGGGGTTTATTTCGGGTTGTGAAGGTAACTTTCCATAAGCGTGGGACTCCAAGCGATTTATGGCAGTTGCCATCTGGCTTATTCGAGTCTCCATATCTTTCATGCCTGATTTTGTGTCCTGCTGGAACTGATTGGTGCTCATGGTTACAGCTCTAGTTTCTTGCTGGAGTTGAGCCATATTTGTGGTCAATGACCTGGTCTCCTGCTGGAACTGTCTAGTCTCTTGCTGGATCTGGGCGGTAGTCGTAGCCAGACTCTTGACAATATCCTCCAAGGAACTCCCTGTGTTGGAGGATGATGGTTGTGATTTCGGTTGCCACGGTTGCTGAAATCCTGGTGGACGATTCGGAAATGAATTTTGTTGCCTGTTCCCATAGCTGAAATTGGGATGATCTCACCAACCCGGATTGTACGTGTTGGAGTATGGATCATACTGCCTACGAGGCGCGGGCACGCCTCCAGCCATGTTCACCTGCTCCGCCCCGTCCTCTTGCAAAATGGGACACGTGTCCGTGCAGTGGTCCATGCTAGTACAGATCCCACACACCTTTGCTCGCGGTGTTTCTCTCATGGCTAATTGCCTAACAACCGATGTCAATTCTGACATTTGTCGCTGTAGGGATGAAATCTCTACCTCGTTGACTTTACGGGGAGGGTTGCTCTCACGGAAGCCAAATTGCTGGGAGTTCTCTGCCATGGCCTCGATGAGCTCCCACGCTTTCCTCGGTGTCTTGTTTGCCAGTGCTCCCCCACTCGCAGCATCAATGATACTCCTATCTGTTGGTTGGAGCCCTTCATAGAAGTACTGGATTAACAGTTGTTCACTAATTTGATGCTGCGGGCATCTAGTGTACAACTTGTTAAACCTGTCCCAGTATTCATACAAGGACTCACCAGGATATTGTTTAATACCGCAGATTTCCTTCCTCAAACTCGCAGCCCGGGATGCAGGGAAGAATTTTTCTAAAAATTTCTTTTTCAGTTGCGCCCATGTGGTAATACTACCTGCTGGTAGGTAGTACAGCCAATCTTTAGCTGCATCTTTGAGAGAAAACGGGAAGGCTCTCAGTCTAATTTGCTCTTCAGTGACCCCAGGAGGTTTCATACTAGAGCAAACTACCTCGAACTCCTTGACGTGCTTGTGGGGTTCTTCACCAGAGAGACCATGGAAAGAAGGTAGGAGGTGAATCAACCCCGACTTCAGTTCAAAAGCAGTATTCTCAGCCAAAGTGGGGAATGTGATGCATAAGGGCTGGTGAGTCAGCTTCGAGGCAGCCAGCTCCCTCAATGTTTGGTTGTTGGCCATGCTTACTTCGTCTTCCGCTGACTCGTTTGCAGTAAATAAGTGCCCTTGTTTTCGTCTCTTGGTCTCTTGCCTCCGCTTACGCGCTGCCTTCTCAACCTCCGTGTGGTATATCAATTCACCTGTGCGAGAAGAACGGGGCATAAACTAGCAAAAGTATCAAGAAGAATAGAATAAAATAAAAATAAAACAAAAACTGAATTTGAAAAGAAACAAATAATCCAAACACCAGCTCCCCGGCAACGGCGCCAAAAATTGACAGGTGCCGAACCTGTGCAATAATAATTACTAAAAAGTCCTAATTACCACCTCAATTAAATAATTATAAAACGAATCCAAGTACTGGAGCAGGAACCCTAGGTGTGCAATGGGTTACTTGATTCACCCTGTTCCCGAAGAGTTTGCTTGATCCGATATACCGGATTTGTCTATAAAAATATTAATTTTGCATACAATGACAAGTAGGGTCGATTCCACAGGGAGCAGGTAGGAAATTATTTCTTTCCAAATCAGTAGAACGAAATTTGGGGGATTTTCAATGGGAGAGAAATAAATAAAATAAAAGTAAAATAAAAATAAAGCGAACTCAATTCAAAACTAACTCACAAGGCACAATTCACTAAAAATAGCAATTAACAAAAGTTCTACCTAAAGGATCAACTGCTCAGGCACGGTCCAATTAAATGCTCATCGATGCAAAGATACTTCACCCATTTATCACTAGGTTTGTTATAGCCATCAATAAGCTCTGACAACCAGTTCTTCCTTACTTCTTCGACAGTCAAGGTACGACCATTGACTGCTTCCCTAACCAGATAACAACCCTAGGTACGACCATAGGAATTTAATTATCCAATTGCATTAAAGCTAGAAGAACCCAACCCTAACCAATAAACACGCTAAGAGGGTTTATTTAAATTAGATCTTGCGTTTCCCCATCATAAAGCCAATTATGGTGGTCGCCACGGGGTGTCAATTAAATGAACAATTACGGATTCTATTTAATTAACGTGGCAGTAGGATATTAAATTAAATCAAATACCCGGCCGCTGATATTCAATTAATCAAATACCCATGAACAATTAATTCAGGAAACACATGAATAGCAATAAATTTGGAGAAATAATGAAGATTCGATTAGATCTCACAGATATTATGGACCGCGCCCTTGCGTCACCCTTTGAGTAGAGGAGGAAATTAGCCGCTCCTCATCGTGTCAATCCCGCGTAATTTAGTTGAATACATTCAATTGATTTCGGAAGAATTGGAGAAACACAAGGGGAATCTCACGGAATTTGGGAAAATCAAAAGCAAAAAGTGAAGAAAGGTCTCCGTTGTACAGAGCCCAGATGCAATCCGCAGAAATCTTTAATGTCTGGCCGCTAGCCGCTAGCCGCAGGCGAAACCACAGTAAAGAAAAAGAGAACAGGAGAAAAGTGTCTGACAAGGAGTAGAAAAAAAAACAAATAAAAGCTAAGCCTAAAAGTTTTTTTGAATCTCGCTTCTTCTTTTCCTCTTGTAGCCGCCGCAATTTCCAAGTCCAAGGCCCACACGTCTGGTACAATTCAATCTGCAAAAGCCATTTCCCCCTTTGAGTTTTGATCCCATGCGCCTGGTCCACATGGACCACGGTCCGGCTTTCGGTTTCGTCCTCCTTCTAAGGCGTGGCCACGCTTTGAAATGGAAGATCTTCTGGAAATTGCCTCGCGAGTTCATTTTTTATGCCGACCACCTACAATGCACGCAAATACCTAATATGAGTGAAATTCTAATTTTTAGCACCGTGAATAGCCCGAATCAGGACAAAATAACAGCGCAAAACACGTCAAATAACAGCTCTATCAACAATCCAACATCAAACTTTGGTATTCACATGAGAGCTCATCACTAGAAAGAAAGAAAGAAACTGAACGAGAATGAACAAATAACAAACTAAAAATAAAGAAAAAATATCTAAAAACTAAAAAATAGAAAAACTGGCACCCCAACTGATCCTCTCCACACCTAAATGACACATTGCCCTCAGTGCAACAAATAAATAGCAATAGCAAGAAGAAGGGTAACGTGACCTCCTTGAAGTCGTTAAAATAGTGGCGGACTGAAAGGGAGAGGAGAAGCTGGCGGCGTCGGCTGTGGGAGAACTTCGACGCGCGAGTGGTGAGTGAGCAGAGGCGGCGGCGCGCTGGTGATGAGGAAAGGAGATGGCGGCAGACAAAGGGAAGAAGGGATCGGGGAAGAAGAAAGAAAGAAAAAATGAAGAAGGGAATAAAGGAAAGAAATGAAAGAAAAATGAAAGGAAAAAAAAAAGAAAAAAGAAAAAAGAAAAAAGAAGAAAAAGAAAAAAGAAATAGGTTTTTTTAATTTGAAATTTGAAAATCCAAACTACGGTCAAACGAAAAAAAATTTTGTTTTTTATTTTTTATTTCTTTTTTTACTATATTATTATTAACAAAACTTATTTTCGAAATTAAAAATTAGAGATTAATAGGTAATCGAAAATTTTTCTCGAGATTTGAATACTTATCTTTCCCATGAACGTGACGCGGGCACGTCAAAAAGGCAAGAACCCTTCTGATCATGAGTTCTCCAAACGACATGATGCGGGCACGTCATATTAGAGAGATACCTACGAGTCATCAAAAATGAAAATTGAAGTCAGATATCAGTCAAAGTCAAGGAAAACATATTTAAGCTATCAAACAAACTGAACAAACAATTAAAAGAAATTGGGTTGCCTCCCAATGAGCGCCTTTCTTTAACGTCTTTGGGTAGACGTTAAACACCACTCTTCAATTTGGATGTAATTCAATTTTCCTTGTGATCGATGGCCCTCCTCTGGGATCCAAATAGCCATTGAGTGCAGCATTCTTTCTTAATTTTCTATTCCTTTTCACCTTATAAATTGCTTTTATCCCCTGATACTTGTTCGCAGTAACTTTGAATTTATCCCTACAAGCAAACTCAGAAAATTCTTGTATAGAGGGATTAATAGCATGAATAGCAAACACAGAGTGAGAGTTAACAGGATATTCCATTGTATCAAAAATATTAAAATTGACTATTTCTCCATCAAATTCTATGGACAAGGTACCCTTATTAACATCAATTTTTGTCTGTGCTGTGCTCAAAAAACGTCTACATAGTAGCAAAGGTGAGAGGTCAGGGGAATAATTATCATCCATGTCAAGTATATAAAAGTCAGTTGGGAATACCAAATCATTAATTTTGACCAACACATCCTCAACCAACCCATCAAGGTATGCATTGGTTCGGTCAACTAACTGAATTATTATTCCAGTTTCTTTTAATGGATCTAGGTTCAGAAAAGCATAGATAGATTTAGGCATTACAATAATCGATGCTCCTAAATCCAGAATGGCCTTCCTAATCAAAGTGTTGCCTATCCTACAGGAGATAGTGAATATACCTGGATCCCCAAATTTCGGTGGGAGTTTCCTTTGTTGAACCGCTGATACATTCTCCTCCACGATGACCCTTTCATCTCCCCTCAGCCTTTTTCGGTTGACGGACAAATCTCTCAAAAATTTTCCATACTTTGGCACTTGTTTGATTGTATATAGTAGGGGGATATTGATCTCTACTTTGCAAAACACCTCCAAGACCTCTTTCTCCTTGTCCCATTTCTTCGATTTCTCCAACCTATTAGGAAATAGAGGGGGATTAGTTTTAACGTCTAAGATCGGGTCAGGGAGTATCACAGGATTTTTGGTGCTTGTGTTCTCTGCCTCAAGCTCTTTCTCAATCTTCTCTTTGTCCTTGTCCTTTGGAGTCATGAGTTCGAGCCCCTGAATTTCTTTTCCGCTCTTTAAGGTCATTGTATTTACATTTTTTAGGTTCAATTCAGGTTGAGACGGCAATTTTTCGTAAACTTGGGATTTTAGGCGGTTGATTGCCACTACCATCTAACTCATCTGACTTTGCATTTCTTGTATCTGATCCAATTGATTCCTCATAATTTGTAGGTCAGAATCCGTTTTTTATTGATTAGTAATTAATTGCTTCATCATCTCTTCCATAGATGGACTTGCGTTTGAAGGGGGTAGTGGCCGGCGAGATTGGTACTGTTGTTTGTACTCTTGCTGCCTATTTGGTGCAAAATTCAACTGCCTATTTCCTCCATAACTGAAGTTAGGATGATCTCTCCAATCCAGATTGTACGTATTCGAGTATGGGTCATATGGCTGTCTTGGCGTGGGCGCGTGACCAGTCATGTTCACTTGCTCCACACTTTCCTCTTGAATCAGTGGACACATCTTCGTAGAATGATCCATACCAGTGCAAATCCCACACACATTGACTTGTAATGCATTCCCTACAGCCAATTGCCTAACAAAGGAGGTTAGTTCTGTCAATTGTTGTTGGATGGAAGATGTCTCTACCTCATTCACTTTGCGTATCAGGATATATTCCCTCTTACCAAACTGCTGCGAATTCTCAGCCATTCCTTCAATTAGCTCCCACGCTTGCTGAGGAGTTTTGTTCACCAATGCCCCTCTACTTGCAGCATCTATTATACTCCTGTTTCTGAAGAGTAGCTCTTCGTAAAAATATTATATGAGCAATTGCTCACTTATTTGGTGTTGAGGGCACTTGATGTTGATGCACAACTTCTTGAACCGCTCCCAGTAATTATAGAGCTACTCCCCTGGATGCTGTTTGATGCCGCATATCTCCTTTCTTAAACTTGCCGCTCGAGACGCCGGAAAATATTTGTCTAAAAATTTTTTCTTTAGTTGGTCCCACGTGGGTGATACTATCTGGTGGTAGGTAGTACAGCCAGTCCTTTGTAGAGTCCTTTAAGGAGAAGGGGAATGCTCTCATTTTTATCTGTTCTTCTGTGATTTTCAGAGGTTTCATACTGTTGAACATGACGTCAAACTCCTGCAAATGCTTATAAGGCTCCTCACCTGATAAATCATGGAAAGTTGACAAGAAATGAATTAGACCAGATTGTAACTCAAATGGAGTATTATCATTTAAACTTGGAAAAGTAATGCATAAAGGCTGCTGATTTAAATCAGAAGCACCCAACTCCCTTAGTGTTCAGGCATTAGCCATAATGGCTTCCTCCCGATCTGAATCACTCGATGTATCACTAAGTGAATCTATTGGCTCAATTTCTGGCTCAGGTCACTGAGATGCAGCACTGGAGTGCTCTTCTCCACGTTGTCTGGTTTTTTTCCTTGTCCTACGGGTCTTCTTTACCTTGGGATTGAAAATTAATTCATCTGTACGAGAAGAACGAGGCATGCACTCGAAAAGTACCAGAGAATTAGAGCAAAAATGAAGTTAAAAAGAAACAAAAAAACTAACGCCAATCTCCGGCAGCGGCGCAAAAAATTGACAGGGTATTGAAACCTGTACAATAGTAAAAATAAAACTAATTGCCAGTTAAAGTAACCAAAATCTGATTCCAAGTACTGGAACAGGGACTCTAGGTGTGCAATGGGTTATTTGATTCACCCTATTCTCGAAAAGTTTGATTGATCCGATATACCTAAATGGGATGATTTTTTTTCACAAATAATTATGAATTTATAGACAGGGCAAGTAAGGTCGTATCCTCAGGAATTAAGAGTATTTGTCTCTTTAGAAATCCAAAATAACACAGGGGGTGTTTTTGTATAAATGATGACAATCAAAGAAATTCAAATAAAAATAAAAATAAATGGCTAACTAGAAATTAAATGAAAATTCACTAAAATTAGAGTAACAATAATTAAAGGTCTAGCCAAGAAATAAGTTCAACAATGGTTTACCTAATTAATCCTCGATGCACAAGTAATTCCAATTATTTATTAATAAATAGGTTATAACTGCCAAACAAGCGATGACAGTTAACTCCTTCTTACTGTGTCGGTGATTAAGGTACGCCTGTTAATTACTGCTCTAATTGGAAAATAATCTTAGGTACGCCCATAAGATTTAATTCCCCAATTACCTTACGTATTAGAGGAGCACTATTCCAATCAAATAACACATTATCAGGGTTATTTCAGATTAGCCTGCGTATCCCCCTGACACAAACTCAATCGTGTCAGTTGTCACTAATTCAAGACAATTAAACAAATACGGATTTAATGACCTAATTGACAATAGATTATCAAGTTAACTAATTATTCAGATCCAAAACAATCAATTAATTAAATAATCATAAGTACTGCAATCAAGAAATATGCGAATACCAATAAATAAAAGAAAAAGATAAAATTAAATCGATATCACAAATTTTAGACGAACCAGAGCCTCCATTGTCCCTTGACTAGATTGGAAAAATTAGTTCATATTTGACGAACAAAGCCCACAGGAAATTGAAGCAATAATAGCGGGCATTAGCCTTGATCGTGAGAATTCAATTTGATCGATTGAACAAGGAAAAACTAGCAACTACAGAGAATGATTCAATTCTTCATAAGGTTTCTGACATGTGTAGGAGAACTCCACTGTCAAAAGCTAAAAAGGAAAAGTCAAAGGCTAAACCTCCCAAGTAGTGCCCGTCCTCTGCATTTTATTCTAGTTCCTATCCAATGCCTCCAAATGTGTGGCGGCTCCCAAGAAAAGAAAACTCTCTGCGTTTCATTCTCTCCAGCAATTACCAATATGGGCCAAAGTTTTCCTTTGCCAACAATGCCCCTGGAATAAGCTCTGTGATTTGGACTCCTTTCCTATTAAATTGACACTTGTTACCATATTTTCGTTCTATTTCCTGAAATAAATGCAAAATACTAAAAGTGAGTAGAATCCAACAATTAATCCACATCGGGTCTGGTAATAGGGGAAATTAATAATAAAATAAATGATAATATTGCGCGCTATCATCAGTCTAAATTATAGTTCAGCTTTCAATTGAAAAATATAATTAACTTTTAACTTATCTAAAATACTTCTATTTAATATACTTCGTTATCAGTAAATATAGTTTACCTTATTTAATATAGTCAACTTTTTCACCAATAATTGTTTTGATATATGTCTAGAGTGGTGCAATATACTTTTATTATTTCTGTTATAATTAATGTAAAGGTATAGTGATTAATAATACTCATAATAATAATGTAAGAGTATTTTAGAAAAACATTATATTAGATTTACTTTTCCAACAAAGTTGATTAATTTTTCTTAAAATTCATGAGAAAAAATCAAAACTATCAAAGTGAGATGGAGGGAATAACAAATAGTGAATTTGTTGTAAATGTTTTTTTTTAACAAGATGGAAAAATATTCATGTAAAGAGTAGGGTAGAAATAAATATATAAACAATTATGCAAACTTTGATTCGATTTTTGTTTCAATGAATATTTCCCTAATAAAAGTTTCCAAGATAAGAAGTGGAAGGATCTAATTTTTTTTATTAGTCATAAGTGTGTAAAAATTCGATCTAGAATTGAAAACAATAAAATCACTCTAATTCTTTACTTTGTTTTCCTTGACTCAGAATGCTTAAGTTCTTATATATATATATATATATATATATATATATATATATATATATATATATAGACAAACCTATACATGAGAAAGAAATGCCAGTTTTAAATTTTATTAATCACATGAAGAGGGCATTTGCCTTTCCTCCATAAAGAAAACCTTGAGTTCTTAACCCTAAGCAAGAATTGGATATTTCTCATTCTTTACTTTCTACAAGATGCCAATGATGGATGGTGTTGTGTTTTATTATGTATTACTTTGTGCAAATTTTAAAAAAAAAGTAAAGTTTATATACACTGACCGTATATAAATTATTACTGTTGGATTCATGATCATAATTATTAAACTTGGTCCGGAGCTCAATCGGAGAGGTGACCCAATCACCGATTCAATCGCGATGATATAATAATATATTTTAAATTAGAAAATTAGTAAAATTTTGAAGTTGATGGTTCAACCGGCGATTCAATAGATGATTTTTTTTTCTGGTTCACCGATTGAACCATCGGGTCGTTGACTAGTCAACAGATTTGTTACTTAATTGGTTTAGAAAGCAACTCAATCCGATCCTATGACCGGTTCACCAGGTTGACCGATTCGACTATTGGACCAAGCTGGGTTTTATAACTATGTCCATGACATATGCGTAAAAGTTAAATTTTAAATTCAAAATTTGTATAGTTGTCATTCATCCAACATTGACATTGTATACACTATCAATGTAGGAAAGATTAATCCTTTAAAAAAATAAAAAAACAAAAAGAAAATATGGGGTAGCTGGAAGAAAGAAAGATGCTATAATATATGAATAAAAAGGTTTTAACATTAATCAGCACTATATATGTGTATTGCGAAGCTCATTTGCACATCATGTGAGCTGCAATTAGAGTGTTATGTTACTCGTTAATTAGTTTTTAAAGTCCAATTCCCGGTTAGTGCACGTTTCACATTGATATGATTTTGCTTTTCTCCCTTTCGTGCCATCATCATCATATGAGCATATCTGAGTGCCCTTGATAGTGCGGTATAATGAAGGATCAAAATGTGCAACAACCAGCTAGCAATGACGCAAATGGGAACGCACATTTTGAATATGGTGTTAGACCAAAACATTGTCCCCCAAAGAAAACCCAAAACGAGTATTCTCCCTTCTTTTATTTAAGCTAGTTATTTAAACATGCAAAGTGAAATCAAAACCTCTAACTTTCTGAAGGGGAGTGAGGTTTAATGGAGCAATACTTAAATAAAAGGAGTTGGTGAAGAGAAGTGAAACCAAAACTTCTAATTTGCTGAAGAGAAGTGAAACCAAAATATTGTGTGGTTCGGGTTTTGGGGGTGCGTGAGGGAGTTGCTGAAGAGGAGTTGGAGGTTTAATGGAGCAAACTAT